AGATATACATTTTTATTTGTCATATAGCATAATATTTTTAATTTTTCACCCTTTCAAGAAGTACTTTTCTTTTTGTTTTTTAGTATATATATAGGTTTTTTAACTTGTTAACAAGTTTTTCTTACTATATATTATATTCAAATAATATATAGTATATTCTTTTTATTATATATAATAAGTTTAAACTTTTTTATATCTTGAGACTAGGTATTAACTACTTTTAGCTTAGTACAAATTAGATTAGAAAGGATTTAGAATCTTGATATTAGGCTAGGAGTTGCTATTGTTGATCAAATTCTAAAGAATCTGTCTATATAGATCAAGATTTTTGTAATAAAATGAATTTTTGTAGCAGATTGAATTTGGATACTTTTGAGGTAGCTGAGTTAGTCTAAAACAGTTTTAAGAGAATTTATTTTGTATATTTGTATATTAGAATAGTCTTATAGTTATATTTAAGCTTTCTTTAATAAAGTAATAGCAAGATTATTCAAGTTATAGAAAAACCTTATAACTTTTAATCTACTAGTCTGAATTAGATGAAATAGATACTATTAGAATTAGCTTATTAAGATATATCTAATAAGTTAAAAATTAACAAAATTCAATGATTAGATTCTGCAAAACTCAAGTTCTAGCTTTTTATAATAATCTATATAATCTAATTAGCTAAGCAATTACTATACAAAATTTATTATATTTAATATATTTATAACTTATAGTTTTTAAGATATATTTATTATTTATCTTATAAATATTATATATTATATATTATATTTATTATAGATTTTATACATATATTAGTTATATTATATTTTTATTAGTAATAGTTATAACATATATAGCTTATATAATATATATAGCTTATTATATTTCTAATTTTTTGTAAAGTATAAAAATAATACATATAGATCTTGATTTTAATATCAAGTTTTCATACTTATTCACAAATAAAATACCTTTCTAATATTTTGAAATAAATATTTATTAATATTTTTATATAACTTTAATTATTATCTTTTTTATAATTACAAATTACTAAAAATCTTCTTTATTAAGTTTTATAAAAATACTCTATTAATTTTAACAAAATATTGTAATTATTTGATATTATACAAAGTATTCTCTATCATTAGTTACTCTAGCTAGTTACTATCTTTAAAGAAGTAAAAACAATGTAATAATATATTATATGAACTATATATACAACAATTATTAATAAAAAATATATAGTATAACTAATATATATATATAAAATATATAATAAATATAATATATAATAAATATAAGATAGGTAGTATATTCATACTCTCTCTGCTGATCCTCTGTACACAAATATACATAAATAAAAACTCTTAGTTACAAGAAAAACAACTTAAAAAACAGTACTTGCAACCTTAAACAAAAAGAAGGAGAACCAAGAGAAATACACAGTCTCTTAAGAGGCTGAGACCTCAGAAACAAAGGCCAAGAAGCTATAGAAAGAAAACTCAAAGAACTGCAAGTTTTTGTTTTTCTACAAATATTTTTTTAGAGAATTGCACTTGACCCTGTTATGTAGATCTATTTGGTTACACTAAAAAGAAAATTCATAATAGAGTACAAACAAAACAAACACATAAAAAGACACATGATAAGTAGATATACAAACAAAACAAAACAAAACAAGAGAATAATCATATAAAGTTAAAAACAGAAAAAGACTCCGAAAGAAGATTTAGAAAAATAGAAGCTACAGCAAAACAGATATATAAAATAAGAAAAATGCTAGAACTATTTCAAGAGAAGAAATTAACTAAGGCTGAACTAGAAAGTTGCATAAAAATTAATGATACATCTGTTAGAGTAGCTACAGAATTAGCTAAAGTAACTAGAAAAAGTATGCATGAGTTTTTAGTTATAGAAAATATATGAAAGATATTTGAAGAACTAGATATAGAAGAAGCAAAACTCTGTATTATACTTATCAAAAAAGAAGAGTACATACAACTAATACAACAAAAGATAGATACAAGATGAATAGAATCACTTAAAGCCAGAAATATTAATAAGCAAAAACAACAAAACAGAAAAACAATTCTAAAAATTAGCTTACAGATAAAAGAAACATTCAAGAAAGCCTTTTCAAGAAAACAACTAAGAAAAAAGAAAGTTACAAGAGAAGAACAAGAAGAAAAAGAAAAAAAGACTATAGAAGAACCAAAGGAAGAAACATAGAAAGAAGAAAAATAGAACTGGTCTTAGAAAAACTTAAAGAAGAAACAAGATCAAGAATACATAAAGAAAATCAAAAAAACTAAGAAGGTAATGAAAAAAGAAAAAAGGAAAGACAAAATAGATTCAAGAGAAGAGAAAAAAGAGAGAAACAAAATTAGATCTTAGTAAAAGAAGAATAGAAACTCGCAACCTTTGGAAGAATTGAAAGAAGAAAAAGAAAAGTCAAGTAGAAAGATACAAGTCTAGAGAAGAGTCTCAACTAATCATACCAAGAAGTAACCAAGAAGAAACTCGAAGAAACTCAAAAAAAGATATATAAAAAGTAGAAAGAAACTAGATAGAAAGAAGACCTTCTTTTTAAACTAACGATTTGTAGATAAATTTTGTAGAAGAGTTTGGAAAAAAAGAAGAAAAAGAGAAGAACATTACAAGATGAATACTAATAGATGAACTGAAAGTAGAAGTAAAAATTATAGTTTAAAGAAAATTTAGAAGAAATTAAAGTTGTTCAGAGGAAGGAGGGTATTTTTGATAATAAGATATAAAGTAGTCATAATAGGCTATGGCGTTTATACTTAGAGAGTTGTAGTTATATAATTATAACAATAGCAATCTAGTATAAAGGTCACTATGGCAGATCGCACATAGGTATCTATAGGATAACTGGGTGAGTTAAAACTTAAAAAATTAGACATTGAAGGGTATATAGCTATTCAATGATGTTTTTCTTGTACAAAAACAAATCTAAATAAAGTTTTGGCATAACTGCTGAATTAAAAAAAAAAAAGATAGGTAGTATATATTTTTTTAAAACTATATATTATAAATATACTATATATAATAAAATTAGCAAATATTTAATCATTTTATAATAAAGGCTTTGACTTCTTATTATAAATAAAACTTATAATTAGCACAAAAAATAATATATGCAAATTTGTATTAAAATATATAATTTATTATATTAAAACTGAAAAAATATACTAAAAAGAATAAAAGGATTCTTATAAAAGATATAAAAGAATGACTCAAATTTCAGATTCTACAGAAGAATAATAGAAGTAGCCAAATTAAATCTTAAGTCAGACATATTGCATATGCTAAATAGTATATTATAATTACTAGTGCTGGTATTTCTCGTAGTAGTAGCATACCTATAAGTAATCTCTAATTTGATTTTTTTTTGCATTTTATGTCAATTGAGTTGATTAAGTTAGTAATTCTTAAAGTATTTAATCTTTTCATAGGCTTGTTAAAGGATTAATTATAAATTCTGAACCAATTGCCACTTATTTTTTTATAAAAAAAATTAGCAGATATGAACAAATTAAAAGAGTATATATACAAAATATAGATAATCTCGAAGAATTAATAAGATTAGATGTAAACTGGCAACCCAAAAAAGTTAAAAATTGTCAAGTCAAGTAATTCAGTTGAATGGAATTATGCAAAGTTACGATGTGGCTAAATTCTTTTGCAAATTTGACAGTGTTAATTATGTATTGCAGTAGTAAGAAAAATAAGTAATATTCTATTTAAATTCAGAGTAAATTTTCTTTCTTACTTTGCCGCAGAGTATTTGATTAAATTTCTTTGGTCAATTTAATCATATGGGCTGCCTTCAATAGAAATCAAGCAAATCTACATTTGAAAAAAAATCAATACCTTAACTTTCAAAGCTTATATATCGATGAATTTTAAAGCTATCTTAATAGATTAATATTCAAAAGAAAGCGTACGATCTAAGCTTTCTTTTGAATACTAGATAATCAAGATAGCTTTAAAATTCATCGAGATATAAGCTGTGAAAGTTAAGGTATTGATTTTTTTTCAAATATAGATTTGCTTGATTTCTATTGACGGCAGCCCATATGATTATTTGATTTTGTTGTGTTTGTGCTTGTGACTAGTTAATAAAACTAATATAAGATTTAACATGTTTTTAATAACGTATCAAAATTTGTCATCATAGAAATTTCAATTATGTCATTTGACCATATCTTTGGCCAATTAACTTGGATCGAGGCAGCTATGAACTCCAGGCGTACATGTGTTTTCTTTGTAAACCATAAATTTTTCTTGCGTTATATAGAAACAATTGAATAATATTACATCGATATCCAAAATTAAAAACAATTAAATGATCTACATATGCACCTAAATTTTCAGAAATAAAGGCGAATTGAAAAACAAAGAAATATACATGCTAATAAGATTTGAAAGGTAATTAAGTCAAGGAAACATTTAAATTGATTATATACAGTAAAATTACTTTTTTAACAATTAAAATTAGTAAGCTTCATTTTACACAACTGATTTTTTTCCCCATAAATAGAAATATTTATACACGATTTTTTTACGATTTACAGTAATACAGATCTTATTTCTCTGCTCAAACAAAGTTTGTTTATAAAAATAATAATTATGAACATTTCACAGTTCACAGATTCTGTAAGTGTTCGGATACGGTACTATTAAATATAGTTCTTGTGCCCTTCCATGCATTAAATTTTAATAGTGCTTGCCAGCACTTGCAGAACTTTTTATTAACCACATAGATTTATTCCGAAATCATGTATGAATTAACTATAAAAGGAAAAATAAATACATATTCCCGGCACACAAAAAATTGATCTAATTGTTGATCAAAGTAAGAAATTATACGTAACGGTAATGAATTTTCGGAAGTTATTCCTTCAAATTATCCAAAATAAGCATATTAATAGTTAATTGCAATAATTCTAGTCAAAAATATGTCGTGATTAATTTTATAACTTACTAGAATGTTAATCTTTCAAAATGATCTAACTGAGACATGGAAAAAAACAGATATAAATTCGAGGTGTAAAAACTGAACTTTACGATAATTTTGTAGTTGCGCTTAATTGTATTCTCACTACATTCCCTTAAGCCCTTCAATATCATAAATCCGCTAACATTACTATTCGATTTAAACTTTCTAAAGCTCTTTATAGCTTTAAACCTTTTAACAAACTCTATCGCTTTAATTCCTTTAATTCTCCAATACATTACAACAATTTAAACCCATTACCCTTCGTAATCATGCTTGCGACTAAATTCCTATATGCTGTAATTACCATTGTATCCGCTTTCATCATAATTGCGGACGCAAAATTATGTCGCACTAACGCAAACCTTAACATCCGTGCAAGTCCATCTACAAAGGCAAAGATTGTCCGTGTTGTTACTAAAGGTTCTAATGTTGATATTACTTGTCAAACTACTGGCGATACTGTTGACGGCAAAAATACTTGGGATAAATTATCCGATGGTACATATTGTTTTGATTCTTACATAAATAATGCTGTTGGTCTTCCGCGTTGTGATAGTCACCCAGCACCACCACCACCACCTCCTGCCAATAATGGTGGTGCTCCAGCTAATAATGGTCAACTTAGTAATGATGGTTTAAACTTTATAAAACAATCTGAAGGATTCAGGCCTGATTTTTATGGTGATTCTGTGGTAATTACATTTACATATTTTTATTATATTATAGTATTATCAACCGTTTATGTTCCTGTTAAAAAATATATATATCTTTTATGTCATTTTAGAAAATTAAGACCATCGGTTATGGTCATGCTTGTCATGCCGATCCAAACCACTGTAATGGAATTCACGCTCCAATCACTCCTGCACAAGGAGAGGCTTTACTTAGAAGTGATTTGGCCTCTAAAGAAGATTGTGTTAAGAGATATACCTCATATAATATTGATTCAAATAAATTTTCTGCTCTAGTTAGTTTTTGTTTTAACCTTGGATGTGGTGCATATGAGAATTCTTCATTACGTAAAAAGCTTAATGCTGGTGACATAAAGGGAGCTGCTAATGAGTTTCTTTTATTTAATCGTGCTGGTGGCAAAGTAGTTCCAGGTTTAACAAGACGTCGTGAAGCTGAAAGAAATTTATTCTGCAAAAGTGGTGGTTGTTAAAAAAAAAAAAAAAAAAAAAGTCCTATTTAGTTAATTCATTTCAGGATTTATAATTGTTTAATTTATTTGAAATTATAATTGTTTAATTTTATAGAGGCTAGTATATTAATACTTTATTTTTAAATTTACATTATTCTTAGTAATTTATAAAATATATATTCGTCCTAATTGTTACTACTAAGAATATATTTTTTAGATACTTGTTTATGAGTAAATTAAATATCTAAATACAAATAAAGATTTGTCATAACAAAAAATATATTAAAAAATTAATTTTAAAGTATTTAATTATAAAAAATTAATATAAAAGCTTTTTATTTCTTATATTTCATTATTAATTGTTTTATTTATTTGAGATTGCTTCAATAGTAAATTAAATTAAACATGATAGTATATAATCTCAATTGAGTGCAATTCCTCTTTTCATTAATCTGTGCTCTTATTTATTAATTTATGACTTTAAGAAATCTGCTTGTGACTTCGTGCTGTCATAATATGTAATTAGCTAATAATCCGTGTTTTGCATGATTATTTCTTGATGTGATACGATTAAATTATCGTTATGGCTTTACCATTTTAGCATAATTAACAATCTAAACTAAATTATAAAATAATTTTATACGTAGTATTAGTTTGTGAAAGAGTGATAGCTAGTGTAAGAGTGACAGCTAGTGTGCTTAACATAGCATAGTAAATTCAGAGTCTACCGTTTCTTACAGCAGCCGGTCCGAAAAATTCCGAAATGTACGCAAAATAAGAAAAAAGTTTCCGAAACGTTCCGAAATATAATACTTCACAGGAAATTTGTGCACCGGTAAATTTCGAATCCTATTTAAATACAGGTCAGGTCTTTTAAGACCATAAAATGTATAAAAGCACAGGTTATCACAAGGAATAAAACGAAGAGTTTTTATCCTTCTTCATGAAGTAACATAAAAATAGTGATTTGTCTTTCCTTTATTCCAACTATTATTAATTTAAATCCCACCTGGATGTTATCGCGTCCAATCTGAGTTACATTGGAGCTAAACCTGAATATATTGTGTGCTGCTCTCCCGCAATTGTGAAAGTATTTCATTATAGTCAAAGCTTCATTATATAAAGTTGTATGCATTAACACGAGGGCTAGCATGATAGCACGAAGCCAGGTTGCATTTTTCTAGAAAGAATGTTTTGAATGTATAAATGTGGGAATATCTTTGATTAAGAAAAAGAAAGACTTGTTTCTAATAATAAAGCAATTTAGAAATTATGATATATCTGAAACCCGATATATAAGACAACGGTTTTATAATCATAGATTATTCATGATAACGTGACTAACTCTATAATAAGGTTGAGAGTCGGGAAAATAGCTATTGGTGAAAAAACTGTACTGTACGATTACTCAAATAAACTATAAATACAATAGTATCATCCTGTATTAAATAATAATCGTACAGTATAAAATATCTATATCCGAACAGGGGCACAGATTTTTTTTTTTTTTTGTATAATGAGTAACGTAAGTGCAGTTCAGTATATACTGAAGAAATAACTTCCAATTTTATCATTCTCAATAACGATTTTAGTTTCGAATAATTTAGGCTTGTCGGCGTATTATTTCTATACTAGAACATAAGATTAAATCTTATCGTTATACAGAAATATATTCCTAAACTTAAAACATTACATTCCCAATAAACAACTTGCTTATTGGCGTATTATTTCTAAAAAAAGAAATCAAAATTCTTAGATCTCTCGCTCTGCACAATACGCATAAAATACCATATATAATAATCTTGTGTTATAAAATAAATATCGATATGAATTTTCTTTATCAATTCCTGCTTGGGCTAATCCCATTAAAAGTTGTCATGCTTAAAACCTGATTTTTTTTTCAATAATACTATATCAAGTTTTGTAAGACAAAGTGTTTATAACATAAGCGCATAAAGAATTTTCATCTTGCATATTAAAATTCTATATCGATATTATTTAATTAAATTTAGTAAATTTGAATTACGTGTAAGTGCATACCACTTTACAGATCATATTTCTAAATATGTATTTGATAACGATAATATTTAATAATATCAGATATAATGCAATTTTTATTCGCATTCACATGTGTGTGAATTGGAAAATTCTGTATTACACAATGCCAAGTAATTATCGTTAAAAGTGAAGGCCCTACAATTTTTGTTAAATTATTCGTATTGTTTACATTACAAACAAATCAAAGCTTCAAGCGTAACGGTAATATTATTGATTATTCCCAGAATAAATTATTAATTATTATTAAAAAACGTATAAAATCCTGCACTTTTTTTTTTTTAAAAAAAAAAATTATATAATTTTAATCTGAATACGTACAGTACATCAATATTAGGAAGATCTTGTAAAACATTAATCTCTTCATCGGAATATTTTTTTTAAGATAATAGAATAATTCCAGGTAAATACAAAATAACTTTATAAATTTGACAATTTTAATAATAATTTTTTTTTTTTCAAATATAAAAAGATTATGGAAGACACTAAATTTATTCTTTCAATTGACGGAGGTGGGATTCGAGGTATCATACCTGCCAAAATCATCGCTTATATCGAAAAAACTGTAACTGAAAAAATAAAAGAAGAGAATCCTGAAGTTAATATAAAATGTGCAGATTTATTTGATATCATTGCTGGTACATCAACAGGTTCTATACTTGCCTTATCACTAACAGTGCCTAACGATAATAATCGACCCACATATGATGGTGAATTCATGGTGAAGTTTTATAAAGAGAATGGAAATCATGTCTTTCCTAGTTTTTCCACTTTTAAGCATGTCACTAAGGTATTGAAGAGTGCCGAGGAGCTCATGTCTAAAACAGAAAATTTAGTTGAAAATTTTGTTACCATGGGACGCAGTATTGAACAAAAAATTACCAAATCAAATGAAACAGAGAGCAAAGTAGAAAAAAGAACTAGTTTTTTTGGATTAGGATGGCTTATGGGTGGATCCGGAAATGAAACCAAGAATGAAATCGTAACCAAGAGTAAAACAGTTGATGAAAACAAAGATAAAATCAAAACCACTGATATAACTGTGAGTACAACTGAAGAAACTGAAGGGGAAGCAACTTTGGGTTTAATCAAACCGAAATATACTCCTGATGGTCTTGAAAGTTTATTAGAAACTTATTTCGGAGAATCTAAAATCAATAAGACTGTAAACGATGTAGGAATATTTATTACAGCATATAATATTACCTCTTGTGAACGTACTTTTTTTACCGAAAAAGATGACTTTCGCATTCAAGATGTTATACGAGCAAGTTCTGCCGCTCCTACATTTTTTCCAGCAAAAGAAATATCTTCAAATTTGTATGTAGATGGCGGTGTTTTTATGAATAATCCAACTACCAGAGCATATCTCGAAGCAAGGAAAAGGTTTCCAAAATCAAAATTTGTTGTAGTTTCCCTTGGTACTGGATACTACAAAACTTCTTTAAATGATCTCGGAAATTCCGGTGCTCTTCAATGGTTACTACCCATAATTGATCTTTTAATGGATGTGGAAGTCGCAAATCATGATGATACAATGAAACTTTTGGCTGAACTCGATGGTGTAAAATATTATCGAATTCAACCGAATTTGGATGAGAAACCTAATATGTCTGATGTTTCAAAAGAAGAAGTCGAAAAACTTACTAATTTAGGCGATGAAACTATTAAAGATCCTACTTATAAATTAGATGAAATAGTTGATTTGCTTGTTGATAAATGTAAAAAGAAAAAAATCTACCCTACTGTAAATTAATGTACCACGACATAGTATATATCAATTGAATGTTATACGTAATTATATTATTCATAGGAATCCTTTTTTTTTTTTTATAATAAATAGGGTTATATTAGTATTTTATGTAATTAAATGAAACCTTTTGATTGTAGTGTACTTCATGTGACTAATTCACCTGCATCTTTGAAATTATAATTGTGAAAATATTAGGTTACTAATTTTTCCTCAGGGTAACTATCCAAAAGTACGCACATGGTGTATTCAAATTAATTTTAGATGTTATCAGTTCTTATAGTAAAATTGGTCAATGAAATTTTTTTATTATAGCATGAAGCATGAGGATTCACTATCGGAATACACAAAAATTTGATTAATAATATAAATACTGAATAATTAGTACGGCCAATTAGAAGTTGGGGGTAAATTAGTAAATTCGAAGCATGAAAGGTGGTTTCTTAGGCAAAATTTTAAACGGACGATTCCCAGTGTACAAACAAAATTTTTACTAAATTTGAACATAGTAATTTAGTGTATTATGACGCTTTGCAAAAAATAGGCAGATTTTAGCAGATATTTTGATTCTCCGAAATTTTAAAGATTTTAAACAATATATACAATTGTTTATTGAAATATATAATTACCACCATCACAAAAATCATAGTGTCACACTTTATTGCAAGGCGCCATAAGCAGGCACTAAGTTTGTGTAAGTTTCTGAAATTAAAATTACACGTAATTTTTGATAATGTGAATAATTTTGGTGTACAATTATTTATTAAATACGTTAGCGCATTATGGCATAGAGTGAATAATTGACCGAGATTGGTCAGGAACGGCAAAGACATCCCGAGAAATTTGCAGTATTATTGCGCTGGGAGTCGCCGCAGGATTGACAAGCCGGTGGTTTTCCGTTTTGCCGAGGCAAGCCGGCTGTGAGCAGAGACATGTAGGCTAGTGATGGGCGATTACTTATTGATTAGATTAGTATTAATAGCAATTATTTATGAAAATCGATAACAAATATTAATTAACCTCATATTTGCGTCAGTGATAAGAAATTGATTTAAAATACGTATTTCTAATCATGACGTTGTAATTACATATTTAATAATTATAAAACAATTTTTTTTTTTTGAAAAATTTTTTTTGTAACAATTCTTACTATGCCAAATTGGCCTGCTCCCAGTCCAGAAATTCAACACTTACTTCGTATACTTCCAAGTCAATGTAGTGGTCATCCTTTAGGCCCTCTTTGGCAAGCATTCAATCCTATTAAAGTTGATAAAAAAACTAAAGCCACATGTATTTTTTGTAAACATGAAAATCCTATATCCGGAACTGCTGCTGTAATGGGTGCACATATCAAAAAGTGTACAAAAATTCCCTTAAATGTTCAAATCTATCTTATTAATGCACAAGAATTTCAAAATCAGCAAAACAATATACAAAAAAGTTTGGAATTTTCACGATCATCATCAGATATATCAATCGATTCTACTTCAATTACACCAATTTCAAGTCAAGATTTAATAGTCACAATGTCTAATAATAATCAATTTTTATTAGATTCATATAAATCTAATCAATTATTACTAGAAGGCATGATTGAGGGTGGAGTACCTCTTTCTCTAGTTGATGCACTGAAATTTAAAGAATTTATTTATTCAATAAATTCTCAATATCATTTGCCAGCAAGAAGACAGCTTTCAAGCCATATTCTTGATAATGTATATGATAATGTTCAATTATCAATTCAAGAATTTATTAATAAATCTGATTGGATTACTATAGCAACAGATGGCTGGACAAATATCCGTCAGGATCATCTTATAAATTATATTGTAATTGGTAAAAATAGGAAATCTGAACTTATTAAAGTAAAAGATACTCATGGTGAAAGTCAAACATCAGAAACAATTCTTCACGATTTAGTTGAAGTTATGACTGAACTTGGAATTGAAAAAATTAGTACAATTATCACAGATGAAGCAGCTAATTATATTCGAATGAAAACAATATTAGTACAACAATATCCAAAAATTTTAGCATTACCATGTGTAGCTCATGAATCAAATCTTTTAGTTGGTGATATGCTAAAGCATACATATATGAAATCTACTATCACTTTAGCATTAAAAATTATCACTTATCTTCGAAAAAGTATACAAGCTATTCAATTTATTCGTGATCGTGCTTGTAATAATACTTTTCGGTTTTCTCTTCCAACACTTACTCGATGGAATTCATATTTTACATCTCTAAAACAAATTCAAGACAAATCATGATTTTTAAAAGAAATGATATATAAAAAATTTCTTTCAAAAAATAGTGAAATTATATCTATTTTAAAAAATGATACATTTTGGAGTCAATTAGAAATGATTATTCAAATTTTGGAATTATATTCTCTTGTACCTATTATTTTGGAATCTCAATATGCAACAATTGCTGATGCAGTTTACTTATGGTGTCGAATGCAAAAAATTTCTTATACAATTTATGATAACTTTCAAAATTATATTATATCTCGAATTAAATATCGTTGGCAAAGAATTTATAATCCTGTATTTTTAATTAGCTGGTTATTACATCCAAAATATTTTTTAGCAAAAGTTATTCATCCAGAACTTTTAACTTTTGTTAAAAAAGAAGCTAGCACTTTATTTAGCCGATTATTTCCAGATAAAGATATTTAAAATTTCGAATGCAGCTTATTGACTGGAACAACAAAGCTTATCCATTTAATTTTGAAGGAAATTGGGACGATTATTTAGTCAAGGATCCTGTTTATTTCTGGAATAATTTTATTAATGAAGTTCCAGAATTAGCAATATTTGCAGCATGACTTATGTCAATACCACCTACATCTGCAGATAGTGAACGATTTTGGTCATTAATAGCAGGTATTCATACTTTAAAACGTAATAGATTAACAAATGATCGGGCAACAAAACTTTCTTGTATCCGATTGCATATTTCTCAAAACAAAAATATTTTGAACCGCATTAAAAAAAATATTAATCAGTTTCAACAAGTAGACCAAACAAATACTAATACTACTAATGATTCAGATATAGCCTATAATTTGGAAACAGATTTTATTACTGAAGATGAATTTTATACTCTTCAGAATTTAGAGCAACAACTGGAAAATCCTGAAGAAATTTTATTAACAACAATTAAACATTTTGATGGATTTAATACATATGATCAAGTTTCTTATAATCAAATTATTGAAGATAGTACTTGGTCTTTTAATCAAATTGAGTATAGCACAGCACTGGAGGATTTGTTTCTTCTTGAAAAATTAGATAACATTTCTTTGAATTTTTGATTTTTTTGATTCGATTTAATTTTTTTTTTTATTGAGCAAATTTTTTTTAGAACATTTTATTTTTAGCAATATGGAAATTTTTTTAACAAATTTTCTGATCGATTATTATTTTTTAAATGAATTGTAAGCAAATTAGTTTTTTTTACTTGAATATAATAACGTATTTGGGCTATCTACTTTTTAAAAGATCTAATTCGAGTCAAATTTACAGATCATTTGGCCTAGGGAGATGACTTTTAAAATTCATCTCCTCGGCCAAATGATCTGCAAATTGACCCGAATTAGATCTAGTCCTACAATGAAATTACATTGTAACGAAACTGTACATTAAATAATGCATTGTCACATTGCACTACGTAGCATTACAAAAGTTTTGCCAGTATTAATAGATATCCATCATTATATTCGGAGCTATAACTTTTTATACTCATTTTTGCGAAGTGAGGTAGATCACGTGATCGAAAAGAGAAGCGGCCACACGAACCCGCCACAAATGCCAGGAGACGCTACACCAAGTCCGCAATAAGGCAGTTAATTAAAAGGTCGATAATCATATGCAAATAAACACAGCAGCATATGCCAGCAACCAAAAAGAAGATACACTTCACCTCCTCCAATGCAATGCACACAAAACTAACTTGCTTACTATTCTCAAAAAT